AGGAGGTTTCATAATTAATAACTCGGAGAAAGACAAACAAAGGAAAAGATGAATAAGGAGGTAGTGCTCATCATTACAATGTTAGTCCGGATGGCTGATTGTTTGCTTTGCTGCTACTGCTGATGATGAGGCTGATGATGATGATGATCCCGTTTCTTGCTCGCTGATTACCCGGCATTTGGAACAGACAAACAGCTTCTGAATGAGGCGGAAAAAAAGAGGAGAAACTGGATGATCATCGGCTGAGAGACCTCCGATCAGTCACTGTCACTAAATCAGTCACTGCTGCTGCTGTGGATTAGGCCCTTGATTCGCCCTTTTCTCCCTCTCTTTTGCCAGTTAATTAATTAGCACAAGCAAATGTGCGTGTGCTTAGAGGGTCATCAGCTTGAGCCCAAGTCAGTCAGTCAGTCAGTCAGTCAGTCTGTTTGCCTGCCTTAACCTCCTTTTTTTGCCGGCCACCACCACCACCACCGATTGATAGTTGCCACCGTTCAATTGATGTGGCGGCGATGTGCCGCCACTCAAGTGTGTGCGTGTAAAGAGAAGTGACTGTTGCCTGCCTGCACCCCATAGTTAGTCGCCCGCTTACCTTCTGCATATTAATCACCTCGCTCTCCTCTTCACCCCACTAATCTTGCCGATGTTTTCTTTTTTCTTCTCCTTCTCTGTCTAAATTTAGGCGCTCCTATCGACGGCGGCAGTGGAGTTGGCTACGGGTGAAGGCCAGTCGCAGTCGCAACAATCTTCACCTTCCTCTCCCTCCTCTTCCTCCGCCGGTGCCCTCTACCACAACCATCAGATGGGATCGGATGAGAGTATCGATGTCTCCAGTTCAATTGGTGTCAGTGGGACGAACGGCGGCAACGGTGCAAACGGTGGCAATGCTAATTCAGCCGACGCAAAGCCGATGATGCTCAACCATCCCGGCCACGTCGAGGACCTGCTGGCCAATGAATCGGGTGAGGGAGATGGGCCCCGAGTGGTGGCTATGGCCGCACCCCCGCCCCCGCTTTCAATGAATCACCAGCACAACCATAATCAGCAGCCGGGACTGTCGCATGCCGTGGTAGTGGACAGTGAACACGATCTGATTGGCGCAGAAACGNGCAGTGCAAACGGTGGCAATGCTAATTCAGCCGACGCAAAGCCGATGATGCTCAACCACCCCGGCCACGTCGAGGACCTGCTGGCCAATGAATCGGGTGAGGGAGATGGGCCCCGAGTGGTGGCCATGGCAGCACCCCCGCCCCCTCTCTCAATGAATCACCANATCCCGGCCACGTCGAGGACCTGCTGGCCAATGAATCGGGTGAGGGAGATGGGCCCCGAGTGGTGGCTATGGCCGCACCCCCGCCCCCGCTTTCAATGAATCACCAGCACAACCATAATCAGCAGCCGGGACTGTCGCATGCCGTGGTAGTGGACAGTGAACACGATCTGATTGGCGCAGAAACGGAGCCCAAATTTAGCCTCTCCAAGTTCAAGAGACCGGTAAGTGTTTAGATTAAAATAGTGTTTTTTTCTTAACTAACACCTTTTTTATTTGTTTAGTTTGCTCGCCTTCCCTCGCTGGACTCTCTTCGCTTCAACAACCGCTTCCTCAACGGCATCCTCGCCGCTGGCTCCAACCCGGCGCCACAGAGGGCAATTCCACCTGGTTTTGGTGGTGGTAATGGACAACCAATGCCTCAGTTTGGCAACCGCCAACCAGGACCTCCTCCTCCTCAGCATTTTCGCGGTCCAGGACCCAACTTTCGCAACAACGGCGGTCCACCACCACTTCCTTTTGGCCATCCTCATCCTCACCCTCAGCACTCTCATCCCGTCCAACAGGCCCCACCGGCACCGGTGTACAAAGCACTGAACATGCCACCAGGAGGTGGTAATGGCGGAGGCGGTGGTGGTGGTCCCAAGTTCAACATGCCGTCCACCTTCAGTCACGCCCCACTGAACGGCGGAGGTGGAGGTATTCAGGAGTCATACCACGTCATTGAGGAGCCGATGACCATCACGGTGCCCTCGGGTGGACAGGGACAGGGAGGACCACACGCCTCAGATCAGGCTGACATTATGCACTCCATCTCGGACTTTATCGGCTCATCGGAGAATGGTCGCATCAATAGCCTCAATGAAGGAGGTAAAACTTAGCAGAAAAAAATGATAATGACCATAGCTAATTTTTACCTTCTTACTTATTATTCAGACTTGGACCAGGGCCGACCGATGCTCTCTGCGCCGCCCTCCAACGACATCTGGCCCCTTTCTCAGCCGGAACTGCCCAAAATCGTCAACCTCGACGTGAAGTGCGAGAAGAACTTCATGAAGGTCTCCGTGGAGTTTGACCGCCCCTACAGCGGCATGATCTTCAGCAAGGGCCACTTCAGCTCACCACACTGCATCCACCTGGCGGCGGGCAGCGGNAGTGCCCTCGGGTGGACAAGGACAGGGAGGCCCACACGCCTCTGCCTCAGACCAGGCCGACATTATGCACTCTATCTCGGACTTTATCGGCTCATCGGAGAATGGTCGCATCAATAGCCTCAATGAAGGAGGTAAGATTGATAAAAATGAGATGGCTAGTATCCATGGCTGACTTTACCCTTTTTACTTATTATTCAGATCTGGACCAGGGCCGACCGATGCTCTCTGCGCCGCCCTCCAACGACATCTGGCCCCTCTCTCAGCCGGAGCTGCCCAAGATCGTCAACCTCGACGTGAAGTGCGAGAAGAACTTCATGAAGGTCTCCGTAGAGTTTGACCGCCCCTACAGCGGCATGATCTTCAGCAAGGGCCACTTCAGCTCGCCACATTGCATCCACCTGGCGGCGGGCAGCGGCCGAACGCACATCTACTTTGACATTCGCATGGACAGCTGCGGAACGACCGGGAACATGGGCGCCAACTCAAATGCCCTCGCCCCGGCAGGGGGCGTCAGTCCGGCGGGCACGTTCTTTGANCGGACGCACATCTACTTTGACATTCGCATGGACAGCTGCGGAACGACCGGGAACATGGGCGCCAATTCGAATGCCCTCGCCCCGGCAGGGGGCGTCAGTCCGGCGGGCACGTTCTTTGAGAACACGGTCATCTTCCAGTACGACCCCTTCCTGCAGGAGGCCTGGGATCAGGCGAGGAAGCTAAGGTGCACCTGGCATGATCAGTACGAGAAGTCGGTCTCCTTTAGGCCCTTTCCCGTGGATATGGTCGACGTGGTGAGAGCGGACTTTGCCGGCGACAATGTTGGCTGCTGGATGCAGATTCAGGTAAGAGGAGGAAGGCTAAAGTTTTGTTTAAGATTTTTCTAATTTTGATTTTTTCACCTCTAGGTCGGTCGCGGCCCCTGGGCCTCTGAGGTGGCCGGCATCGTGAAGATCGGCCAGACGATGACGATGGTGCTGGCGATCAAGGACGAGGAGAATAAGTTCGACATGCTGGTGCGCAACTGCGTCGCCCACGACGGCAAGCGACCGCCCATCGAGCTGGTGGACACCAACGGCTGCATCGTCCGCTCCAAGCTGATGAGCCGCTTCACGAAGATTAAGAACTTCGGTTCCAGCGCCTCCGTCCTCAGCTACGCCCACTTCCAAGCCTTCAAGTTCCCCGACTCGATGGAGGTTCACTTCCAGTGTACCATTCAGATCTGCAAGCACCGCTGTCCGGAGCAGTGTGACGCCTCGGGAGCGGCCTCGGGACTGCACTACTCCACACATCAGATTTCCGGTACGATTAACACCGGCGGAGGAGGAGGAGGTAATCTAGGCAATCACCAGATTGGTGGCGGTGATTCGCTTTATCTCGAGGGAGGACATGACGGGGCACCGCCCTCTCGAGGTGGTGATAGCTCAGTTCTGGCCCGCCCTCGTGAGATTCGAGATGTGAACGCCCAGTTGGCGGAAGAGGGCGTTTCGGAGCAGGTGAACAGCAGCTCACCAATGACTGCCCAGCAGCAGCTCTCCAAAGACATCGGCGTGAACAAGGTGATTCGGGTGGTTTCCAGCGGTGACCTCTCCTTTGCCACCTCGGACAAGCTCACCCAAACGGACTCCAGTGCCTCATCATCGGAGTCCACAAACTCCACAAACTCCAGCAATGGCAGCGGCAGCAGTCACCTCGATTCAGCCCGTTCCTGGCTCAGTGAGACCCTCCTCAAGCACAGCAGCGCCAGCACCGAGAAGATCTGCATGTCCAGCCTCAACTTTGTGGTCTGTTTCGCCACGCTGGCCGCCCTCCTCCTCACCAGTGTCACCTGCTCTCTTGTTCTCTGCTGTCGTCGCCGGGCCGCCGAGGGGGCGTTGAAGGCGAAGCAGTGCAACTCCGCCAAGGAGTCCATCCTCACGGCGAAGATGGTCTTGGGGGCGGCCACCGCCGCTCAGCACCGCTCAGAGTACAGTGCCGCCCTTAGCGCCGCCCACCACGCCCACTACGGAGCGAGCAATCAGACCAGTTCGGCGAACCAGTCCAATGGAGGAGGGGCTCTGCTCGCCGGTGCACACGCCTACCTCGGCTCATCGTCGGTGCTCAGTCCGCGGGTGCAGGCTTCCTCCAATGGAGGAGGAGCTGGTTCTAATCAGCAGAACGGCTATGCGCACCACCGAAGCTCTGATCTGTACCATTCATAGGCAAAAAAGCAAACGTTATCATCATCACCCTCTCCCTCCCCTTAACTAGCACACCCTAACCTAACCACGAAACTCCTCTCTCTTTTTTGTATCACCTCTTTTCCTTACTTTCCTTGCTCTCTTTCTCTCTCTCTCTTTCTTTTTCCACACTTCTGACCGACTGAATTCTGCAGTTTGCCAAATGTATCATCATCACCACTACCACATGATCATCATCCTCACACACACCCACACCCACACGCCACCTTCACATCTTCACAGCATTCTAGTATTATCACCTTTTCTATTTATTCCAAACTCGATTTATCAAATTCTGACTGCTCTCAAGTGAATGTCAGCATTGTTGGTTCCAGTTGTCACTGGATTGACTATGTAGCCGCCGCCTTTGGTTAGATTCAGTCTAATCCTTCCGTGTGATCTGGCATCAGCAATTGCTAACATTTTCAATCAAGAACAGTCCGACGGCGCCGTCTTTTACTTACTTCAGTTTAATCATTCTCGTTTTCTCATTCTCGCATTGATGTAAACTCTGTTCCTTAACTTCTCATAACTTATTTATTGACATGTACACACCCACACACCCACCTACCCAATCCCTATTTTTTTATTTATTATTTATTGCCTCATCTTTCATAACTTAAAGTCAAAGTGAACAACGTTTTTTAAAAATAACGAAAAGAAGTGCAAGTTTTGTTGTTGTTTTTGCTTAAGAGAAGAGCTTATAGGCGAAAATGAGAAACTTCCAGTAGAAAACGAGCGATTTGCCGAAAGATGAGTACGTGACTGCGCCCACCTTTCCATACGAAAGCCCGTAGCGGTTATCAGTGTTGAAGTGCTGTAGGTAGGCGGCCATTTTCAGACGGATGCGAAAGCTGAACTTCAAGTTACTCTGCAGACTCCCCAGAAAGAGGGCGGTCATCGGCTGAACTGGTTTGTGTACAGANCTTGTTGTTGTTTTTGCTTAAGAGAAGAGCTTATAGGCGAAAATGAGAAACTTCCAGTAGAAAACGAGCGATTTGCCAAAAGATGAGTACGTGACCGCGCCCACCTTTCCATACGAAAGCCCGTAGCGGTTATCAGTGTTGAAGTGCTGTAGGTAGGCGGCCATTTTCAGACGGATGCGAAAGCTGAACTTCAAGTTACTCTGCAGACTCCCCAGAAAGAGGGCGGTCATCGGCTGAACTGGTTTGTGTACAGAAGTGGCCAGCTGTACGGAGAAGACGTGCATCAGAAAGATGATCATCTGCTGCTGGGCAAGCAGCACGACGACGGTCGCTTTAAAGGAGGTAGAGCGTTTTGTCTGTTGAACATCACCATCTTCCCGGCCCTCCAACAGCAGACTCATCAGCAGGTGAGCGTTCTGCGGATAGGCAACCAGAAAGAAACGGAAAACGGCCGTGCCGTACAGTCGATTGGAGTCGCCCAGCAGGCGAATGTAGGCGGCGTTTTGCGCCAAAAAGCGCCTCAGCCGGTGACAGGTGCTGAAAATGTTCTGCTGGTGACGTCGGCGTTTAATCTCCTCCAGGCAGGCCCACAGCTGCCGAGGAATGATGTACAGCATGGCATCTACGGAGAATCCATGCGTTCCAAGGAGGAAAAGCGTCGAAAGAATTCGGCGAGTGCCGGCAAACATCAGCCAGGCGTGGCCCTGAAAGAGGCCGTACAGCCAAACGCCGCCGTCCATCCTGAAGAGGCCCTCTGCGGAAAGTTCTTGAAAGTAGATGAACTGCATGTTGATAAAGTGAATGTCTACAAAAATTAAATCTTGTTTGAGTTTGCTTTCATTGTAATTTAATCTTTTAACTTACTCACACCAATGATGATCAACTGCATCGCATTTCGGCTGATAAGAGCGACCAGCTGAACTGTCTTAAGCACTGAATGCCTGCGTAAAAAGAAGGTGAATAATGGTGAGGGGAAGAGCCGATCGTCAAGCCTCTTTTCCAGCAAAACCTGCTTTAGAGCATTATAACAAAGTCCGCCTCTATTCTCGTAAAACATAATTCCCAGGTAGCTGTAGGCGACCAGGGCGAAGTCGACAATCCACAAGCAGTTCACCCGGTCCATCCGTTCCAGGTAGAGGATGTTCACCGAAAGGAGGTTTACTAGCCTGCTCCAGCCATCCTGGTAGAGGTAAAAAACCAGAAAGAAGGCCCCGTAGTAGATGAGCAGGGCCCTTGGGGCGCCGATCTTTAGCATCTTGTTTGTCAAATCTCCGGAAAAAATGTTCTCCACTGCCTGGTAGTACTCGCTGAAGTAGGTAATGTTGAACCAAAAAAGGTTTTTAGGAACATAAGTCCACTTTAGACCCATTTTTAAATGGTAGAAATAATTTTGCATTTTTTAAAAATGTTTTGTTTTATAATATTCAAGATTTTTTTCACAACACTATGACTTTTTTTTACATTTTGAGTCTTATCGATCAGTGAAGTAATAAACAAAACATTAAAAATGCAAAATTCTTTCAAAAAGTACCCTTACCTCTTTTTAAAATTAGTTAAAATTTAAGGCAAATTTGAATTATACACAAAAACCGATATTTTTTTGCATTTTCATTTGTTTTAAAAGTTGTTCTGGTATTTATTTGTAATTGCTTTGTATTTTTACTATCATCGTTTAACTACTGAACAAAATAAATAAAAAACAAAACCGTTATTTTTTCTGTAAATTGGCTTGATTTTAAGAGAAGAGCTTATAGGCGAAAATGAGGAACTTCCAGTAGAAGACGAGCGACTTGCCAAAGGAAGCATATGTCACCGAGCCCACCTTTCCATATGAAAGCCCATAACGGTTGTCAGTGTTGAAGTGCTGCAGGTAGGCGGCCATCTTTAGGCGAATGCGAAAACTAAACTTTAGGTTGCTCTGCAGGCTTCCCAGAAAGAGGGCGGTCATCGGCCGAACTGGCCTGTGCACGGCAGTGGCCAGCTGTACGGAGAAGACGTGCATCAGAAAGATGATCATCTGCTGCTGGACGAGCAGAACAACGAGGGCCACCTTAAAAGAGGAGGAACGGTTAGTTTGAGCATCATCTCCTCCGCCTTCCAACAGCAAACTCATCAGCATGTAAGCGTTCTGTGGGTAGGCGACGAGAAAGAAGCGAAATGTGGCCGTGCCGTACAGTCGATTGGAGTCGCCCAGCAGGCAAATGTAGGCGGTGTTTCGCGCCAGAAAACGCTTCAGCCGGTGACTTGTGCTGAAAATGTTTTGCCGGTGATGGGACCTTTTTAACTCCTCGAGACAGCTTCTCAGCTGTTGAGGAAGGATGTACAGCATCGTGTCAACCGGAAATGCATGCAAACCAAGGAGGAAGAGCGTCGAGAGGACGCGCCGAGTGGCGGCGAACATCAGCCAGGCGTGAACTTGAAAGAGGCCGTACAGCCAAACGCCGCCGTCCATCCTAAAGAGACCTTCTGCAGAGAGCTCCCGAAAGTAGATGAACTGTACGTTGATGAAGTGAATGTCTGCAAAAATAAAATTTTGTAAAGATTGAGTTTACTTTCTTTTTTAAATTACTTACTCACACCAAAAACAATCATTTGCATCACATTTCGGCAGATGAGCGCGACCAGCTGAATTGTCTGAACTACTGAAAACTCTTGTGAAAAAATAGTGAATTGAGGTGAGATAAAAAGTCGATCGTCTAGCTTCTTTTCCAACAGAACCTGCTTCAAAATTTTGAAACATGGTCCGCCCTTGCTTTTGAAAAACATAATTTCAAGGTAATTGTAAGTGACCAGGCAGAAACCGACAATCCACAGGCAGTTCACCTTGTCCATCCGCTCCAGGTAGAGGATGTTCACCGCGAGGAGGTTCGCCAACCGGCTCCAGTGGTCCTGGTAGAGGTAACAGGCCAAAAAGAAGGCCCCGTGGTAGATGATAAGGGCTCTCGGTGCACTGATTTTCAGCACCTTTGTTGCAAGGTCTCCGGAGAAAATTTTCTCCACTGCCTGGTAGTAGTCGCTAAAGTAGGTAATGTCGTACCAGAAGAAGTTTATTAGAAAATGAGTCCACTTTAAACGCATTTTAAAATGTGTTTGGTGATTTTAGCTAGAAATGATTTTGCTTTTTTTGGAAAACTGTCTTGTTTTATAACTTGTTAAAGTTTTTTCAACATAACACACATTCTGTTGTTCACATTTTGAGTTTTATCGATCGGTGAAAAAAGTAGACAAAACATTTAAAATGCAAAATGCTTCCGAATAGTACCCTTACTTCATTTGAACATTAGTAAAAATGTAAGGCAAACACAAATGATAGATGGCCGCTATTTTGTTGCATTTTTTATTGTTTTAAAAGTCGTTCCGGTATTTATTTTTAATTGCATTGTATTTTTATTATCATCGTTCAACTACTGAACATAATAAATCAAAGACAAAACCAATAACTTTTTGTGTAAAGTGACTTGATTTTAAGAGAAGAGCTTATAGGCAAAGATGAGAAACTTCCAGTAGAAGACGAGTGACTTGCCAAAAGATGAGTACGTGACTGCGCCCACCTTTCCATATGATAGCCCGT